TAAGTAAATGGTTCCCGGGGATGCGCGGGGCCGTCACAGGCTGTGTCTGCTGGAAGCCGGAGCAGAAAGCGAGCCGGTTCCCGTGGGTGCTGGCAGCTGGTGCTGCTGGTTGACCCTTTTCCACGGTCTTTCTTTCCTAGTGGATTCCTGTCACCAAGCTTGGTCGCCTGGTCAAGGATATGAAAATCAAGTCTCTTGAGGAGATCTACCTCTTCTCGCTTCCGATCAAGGTAAGCTGCGGTAGGTGCTTAACGTGCAGCAGGGTCTTGATCTGAAATGCAGAGGATAAAGACACAAATCGGAAGCGGAGGACCAGTGCAGTTGATTCTAGTGAAGCGTGGTGGGTTATGCACGTTGCCTTTTTCAACTTGCGCAGTGTTGGAACGTCTAGCGAGCTGGAATAAGCTTATGCCTGCAAAATTTACCATGTTAAAGTACCTATTATTTAAAATACCTTTGTATAGGATCGTTGAAATGTAGGAGCCTTAATAGCTGAGCTTGGTTTAAAAAGTGCAGCCTTGTGTGATTAAATGACTCTTGCAGGAGTCAGAGATCATCGATTTCTTCCTGGGGTCTTCTCTGAAAGATGAGGTTTTGAAGATCATGCCTGTCCAGAAACAGACCCGCGCTGGTCAGCGTACCAGGTTTAAGGTAGCCTTTTTCTTCTGTTCTCTTACCTTGAAAAGTTTATGTGGTTTGTAAGCTGCTCTTTTGGTATCATACTAATAAATTAAATTAAATACATTTATTTTCTTAGTAAATAGCAATAATCAGTTGATTTTCTTAAGTAGTAAGTAGTAAATATGTTGGCATGGGGGTTAGCTTGTGTAGCTTACAGAGTGTTTGTATTATTTTTAAACCCCTAGCAATAGATTCAGATGTTATTTGAAACAGCCCTAGCACCAAATTAAGTTGCACTTGTACAGCTGTGCTGCCTGTGTTGAGGTGTGGTGGAGGGAGAAGTCTTGGGTGTGAAGAGGGAATGCTGCTTGGAAATTGCAGGGAATTTTGACCATTTAGGAGGCTGTAGTAGGGATCTGAATCTCACTTCTCCAACCATAGCTGATTTTGATGGAAGGATGAGCTCTAAGGGGAAAAATGGGCTTCTTGGTGCCAACTGCTGAACACACATCTGGGGTTATCCTTGGTGAGAGCCTGATGGTCTGTGATCTGCTGAGAGAGCGTGCCCGCGCAAGCACAGCCACTGCTGAAAAATTTTCTTCCCATCCTAGGCTTTTGTTGCTATCGGGGACTACAATGGCCACGTCGGTCTTGGTGTTAAATGCTCTAAAGAAGTTGCTACTGCTATTCGTGGGGCGATCATTTTGGCCAAATTATCCATCGTACCTGTACGACGAGGTTATTGGGGGAACAAGATCGGCAAGCCCCACACCGTGCCTTGCAAGGTGAGAGTGACTTGCTGGGCCTGGTCTTGGTGACGGTGCTGTAGAGGGTGCCTGGGGAGCTGTAACCATTGTGTTTGCGTAGGTCACCGGCCGGTGCGGCTCTGTCCTGGTGCGTCTGATCCCGGCTCCCCGTGGTACAGGGATTGTGTCCGCCCCTGTCCCCAAAAAGCTGCTGATGATGGCTGGCATCGATGACTGCTACACCTCAGCCAGAGGCTGCACTGCCACCCTTGGCAACTTCGGTAAGCTTCAGGCTTTCCTGTCATAGCGTAGCTGTATGTGTGGCTGGTTTCGTCATCGGCAGGGACGCAACATACCTGTTTCTGTAGTCTTTAATCTGTGTTGAATCAAAAGCTTCCAGCAGGCAAGCGGAAGCAAAGACTTCTGCTGATACCTTTTGTGGTGCAGGTTAGTTGTGCTGTAGGTGATCCTGAAGTTCCGCAAAAGTTAATTACAAAAAATTGTCTAAAGTGATTTTTTTTAAGAAGTGCTTTGGTATTTTAAAAAAAAAAAATCTCCCAATCTGCGCGATTGCACTTGTTTGAAGTAGTGTAATTGTCGTAAATGGAGAGAAAAAGAAACGTGAGTTTTGTGTAGATGTCAGAGAGACCCTGCTGTGGTCTCCCTGTTTCTTCCTAAATCCTACATCTGTGGAGCCGCGGGGGTGGGTGCTGGCGAGCAGGGTTCTGTGGCTGTGCTGTGCAGCATTTGACTTCTGTCCCCAGCTAAGGCCACCTTCGATGCCATCTCCAAGACCTACAGTTACCTGACCCCCGATCTCTGGAAAGAGACAGTGTTCACCAAGTCTCCTTACCAGGTAAGGGTATTTCTGCAAGTGGCAGCGCAAATCTTGCCCTTTGTACCTGTAAAATTCAGGTGCTGCACCCAAAGAATTGGCATGTTAATAATGGGAGAGAGTGGAGTTGTGGTCAGAGCCGACTGCCAGGGAGATGTAATTTATTTTTTTTCAGCATGCTGTTTTGAGTAATACTTGAAAACAGCTTTTCATGGACAAATGAAATGGGAGGAGGAAAGGTCTGAAATACTAAGTTAAAAATCAGTTGTATCTGAAATGCCCCAGTCACATACACACCTGGCTGGAAAGGGATGCAGTGCTGAGAAACCTGTAGTAGTGCCTTAAGAAAATAAAAATACTTTTTATATAAGATCTTTTTTTTTTTTTTTTGCAGGAGTTCACTGATCATCTGGCAAAGACCCACACCAGAGTCTCTGTGCAGAGAACCCAGGCAGCTGCTGTGGCGACGACTTAAAGTGGGTTTTGTACAAGACAATAAAGTGATCAGTGAACAAGAAATTGCGATTGGCTTGGGCGGGGCAGTTAATGCATTGGGTGGATTAAATCTCTGCTGGAGATTTGAGTAGGTTCATGTCCATGGTCCTGAACATCTGTTGAATGAAATAGTATGTTAGATTATACTAATCCTTGTTAATCATGTATTAATCCTGAATGGGGTCTAGAACCAGAGCTGCAGATTACGTGCTGTCCTATAGCGGGTAATCTTTACCCTCACAGAGGGAATTCTCTGCTGGGGCTGGGCAGAGCAGTAATGGTGTTTCTAGAGGTTCAAGGATGTGTGGGGGAGAGGTCCTGAGGGGGCGAAATACCAGCTAATGCAGCCAGGGGCTGACCGTGCTTTAGAGGATGGGAATGATCAGCTGGAATTCAAAGATGAACACAGAGCTGAAAAAGGAAGAATTCTGTTAAGCATTTGCAGATCTCTCCAAAGAATGAGTCTAGACTCTAGTTGTATGGCAGATGTCTGGGCTGTGCGTTTATTGTAGAGGCCAACAGCATCACAGTTCAAAGACGCAACATGCGGTATTCGATACGAGTGCCACGGAGGGAGGTGCTAACCATTTACATCTACTGAGATGCATTTGCCTGTGCCTTCCTCTCCTCCATCATCCTGTGCTTCTGCTTCATCAGGCACGTCCTTGCATTTCCATGGACACCAAGATCACCATCTTAAAAAGAAAGCAAATGGCTGAAGAGTGCCTGCCCCATAGCAGCTAAAAAAATATAAGCATCTGGGGCTCAGGCCCCTTCTTTCCCTGGTTGCAGTTGCAGCAGCATGCAGCAGCTGTACTTACATCTGTCCTGGTAGGCCTTGGTGACCTGCGCCAGCAGCTCCATCTCCTTGGCGCAGTTCTGGAACTGGTTGGGTCCTTCCCTGTGCTTGCATGCGCCAAGCCTCTCCCGGACTATCTCCACGATTTCCTGATCGACCATCCTGTGGGGAAGGATAATGACAGATGTAACCACAGCCAAGAGATGACAGAAAAGCTGAACAAAGGGAGGTGATTGTATGCTGTGGAAGGTCAGCTCTGGGTTTTTACAGGATCCTGGTCTCCTGCGGCAGGGCTGTAGGAACCAGGCAGTGCAGGAGGGCGGGTCCTAATGCCACCCTGCCAGGTTCAGGTGTGCTGCAGGGGACAGCATGACTCTGAAATGGGTGTTCTGTAACAGAACAGGCAGGAGGTCATGCCTTAATGCCCCAAACGCCACGAAAATGCTGTGAGTTCGAGCACAGCACTGCGGTTCCCAGGGCAGACTGGCCTGAGGGCAGCCTGGTGACAGCCGTACCTGTCCCTCCTCCACTGTGCTTCAGCCTCGAAGAAGCAGAGGTAGTCGCCCTCCAGACACTCGCTCAGGTCGGGCACGCGGGGGAACTTCTGGTGGTAATAGTAGAACTTGTTCTTGTTTTGCTGGCGCTCGATCCACTCTGCAGCGACAGCCCTGTGGTCAGGTACCCCCCCCAGCCCACGACTCGCGAGGGGACCCCGTTCCCGTGTGTGTCCAGCTCGGTGTTCCCTGCCCCATGTGTCTCTGTCCGTGCCATGGCTTTATCTGTGTCCCGTGTCTGTCCCAGTGTCCGTGCCGGGGTCTGGTCTGTGTCCCACGTCCCTGTGTCCTTGCTGGCCCCCCCCCCCGCGGCCGCCGCCTCGCGGCT